TTTTTTTTTTTTTCATACCAGCTCTTAGAAAGACTGCCGTCAACCCGCCTAAGCCCATGAAACCCCTCTACTGGACACGCATAGTTACGCCAGCACCACCCCCTAGGATTACAACTCCGCAAGCCAGTACTGACTCTAGCGGTAGCTCGCCCGACGATGTTACCGACTCAGCAGCGCCCAAGGAAATCTGGCAGGAGATCGAAGAAACAAATCTCGATAACATCGACGAATTTACCGAACTCTTCTCACGGCAGGCTGTGGTACCCGTTAGCAAGCCAAAAGAGAAGAAGGTGGTACGTGTGAAGGCTATAAAAGTGTTGGATAGTAAGCGTTCTCAGAATGTCGGCATTGTGTCGCGTAGTCTACACGTCGACTTCTGTGAGATCGAACACGCGATCTACCATGTGGACACATCGGTTGTAAGCTTAGAGACATTACAGCAGATCATAAACATTAAGGCAACAAACGAGGAGTTGGAACTGATCAAAGAGGCAGCGCAAAGCGACATACCACTCGATTATCCGGAGCAATTCCTGCTCAAAATCTCACAGATCTCAATGTCTACAGAGCGTATCTCATGCATTGTCTTCCAAGCCGAGTTCGAAGAGGCAGCAACGGTAATTGCGCGAAAATTGGAAGTTGTTGCACAGCTTTCGCAGTATTTGATTGAGAGCGAAGACCTTAAGCTGATCTTTGCCATAATACTCACACTGGGAAATTATATGAACGGCGGGAATCGACAGCGAGGGCAAGCGGATGGTTTCACATTGGAGATATTGGGAAAGCTCAAGGACGTAAAGTCCAAAGAGTCACAGACGACGCTGTTGCATTTCATTGTACGAACCTATATCAGCAGACGACGCAAGGAAGGAGTGCAGTTGCTAGAGATGACCCTACCCATACCCGAACCGTCAGATGTGGAGCGCGCAGCGCAAGTGGATTTCGATGAGGTCAAGCAGCATATAATAGAATTGCATAAGAAATTGAAAGGTGAGTGGGAAGGTAAAAGTGGAGACACTTTCAAGGATGATACAAATATGTACATATGTATGTGTGTAAATTCGTTTTATTTATCCTCTTCATTCCAGCGAACAAAAAGACAACGGAGCGCGTGGTTCTAGCCTCAACTCCAGGCACTTTGGAACCATTCAAATCGAAAATGGAGGAGTTCATTGAGAGCGCAACAAAGACAATCGATAAACTCTACAAAGACTTGGATGAGTCGCGAGAGATGTTCATCGAAACGATGCGCTTCTATCACTACACGCCCAAATCTCGCGCCTTGGAACAATGCACGCCCGATCAGTTCTTTGAGTATTGGACGAACTTCACCAATGACTTTAAGGACATTTGGAAGAAGGAGATTGCCACGTTGTATGACGACTTGTAAGTGCAGAAATTAAGGGCGAAAAAATCCAATAGCAATTAAAAAATTTTTTGTTCGTTTTCAACTTTTAGGTTACGCAAGTCGAAGCAAATTCAGACACAATCACGCAAAAATGTTAAAACCACAAAACTGAAGCCAGGCGGCCTTAAGGAACGTATCCTGCGTTTGAGTAAAAAGTAAAACAAAACTACAGCAGCTCAATGTAATGTAATGCGAAATAAAATATAGAAATTTTAATATATATTATGCAGTTTATAGCATTTGTTTGAAATCGTACGAAAATGCTTTCATGCATAACTTTGTTGCTTTATAGCGTGTTTTCACTAGCTAATTGAGTATTAAATTTTTTCCAAATACAAACAAACTTTAGCTTACAAGAAATGCACACACCAATCGGAACGTACGTACATACTTATACATACATACATACATACATACATACATACTTAGAAAGTAGCCTTATATTAAATTTAGCAAATAGACTAATTTAAGTTTGTATATGAAAAATGATTAATTTCCATTTTTTTAAATAAACAAGTACATAACTACAAATATTTATTTTGGAAATGCTAAATAAACCAGTTAAATATTGAGAAATCATTAAGAAAACTCGTTGTTCTATTTTATTTACTACTAGCAGACACGACGGACTTCGTCCCGCCCACAATTAATTTTTACTAAAACATTTGATCCAACGTTTTCACCAACAATTCACGTTCACGTTTGGTTTTATGGTCGTCAGAATGCGTATATTTATTCCATTGCCGTCTTAAATAATCTTATGAAATCGTTATGTCCCCGAAGAAGTTCTTGGGCCAACAATGATTCGATGGTGAATCGTCACCGAATCTGTATTGTACAGTTGGTGGCCATTTCAAAGTGGGGTTGGTCCACAGAAATTCAATATTTATTTTATTAAAAGTTTCAGTATGGTTGGAAGGCGCCACGCCTCTTTTCCAATAACCCCCACTTTTCTCTATAAGTATGGGATTGATTTCAAATATCTCCATACCAAGTTTCAGGACTTTACTACAAATACTTCCAGAGATATTATACGGTATGAAAACTGCGATTTGTATGGAAGATGCCTCACTCCCTTGATAGATATATCGAAATTATTATCAGCCTATAAAAGCGACGGGCGGAGAGATTTTACTCTGCACTCGACTATACAAAATGTATAAAAATGTATAGAAAGCTTAAAAGAGCTTTGCCCGCGGTGCCCATCACTGGCCTATAACCATCCTAGGAAAGTCTGCAGTAGGTGTCAAAAATTTCAAAAAAACAAATAGAAATCCGGACAGCCGTTCGCGAGATCACCTCTTGTAAAAAGAAGGGACTTCTCTTTATATAATTAAAATCGGACCATAAATAAGATTTTTCAAATAGATCGGACCCTGGTCCATTTAAAGAAAAAAAAACGGATCGTATATGCTAATCTAGGTAAAAAGCTACCTATGTGCCAAATTTCAACCAAATCGGACCATAAATAAGATTTTTCAAATATATCGGTCCCTGGTGCATCTATCAAAAAAAAGTAACCCATACGTTAATCCAGGCAAGGTAGCTTCTAAGTGCCACTACGTTCTACTGTAATTTACACTGAATTTTATTTTTCGAGCATATCCAATAAAGATTAAAGATGACTTTAACTTTATTTTTTCGCTCAAAGGGAATTATCACTGCTCGGTTTTAATTTTTTCGATATAAGATAATGATTATTTTATGATTTTTATTTGTTCGCACCAAGATAATAGTTGTGCGTTTCTTAGGCAATGATCGGGCTACGGATAAAAAATTTGCCTGCAAATGCAACAACAACGATATGATCCTGATAGATCTGGTACAATTTAAGATCCGCTGTGTTTGTAAATTTTATATATAATCATTTTCGTTTAAGTGGAAAAATATAAAACTCGATAGTAATTATTATCTCTGAGCGAGAAATTAAAAATCATAAAATAAGTATTACATAAATGCTGATTTAAATTATTTTACGCCCACTAAATGGTTCCAAGGTAAGGGGAACAGGGATAATTTCAAGCACAACTTATGCGTATTTACAGTAGCCGCTACAACAACAACAACAACAACAACAACAGTATTTATGTATTTTTTCAAAATTTCTTGCAGAAAACTTATTTAATTTCCAAAAAAAACGAACATAAACATTTAATTAGTAAACAAAAAATTCTAAATTTTAATTCCCAACTTTTTTAAATTGCCTTATTTAATTGGGAAAATTATGAAAATTTAATTGAACAAAAACCAAAAGCAAAGCCAATTTAAAGTAACACATCCCACATTGAAATGCGTCAAAATGGAAATAAAAGAGCAAAGCGGTGTTTAAACAACGATCTCGCCATTATGCTAGATTCTTCAAGTGAAGGTGAAAGTTAAGAGGATACATCCGATAATTTCAGCCGCGATGCAGTTCTCATTACTTTTTTTTTTTAAATATAATATTCCAATTTTTAAATTCAATTACCTAAATAACTTAATTTAATTGTTTCTTAAGAATACTTGACATCCACATTCGCATCCGCATCCGCGGATGTTAGCCGTTAGACATCCGCATCCGCATTCGCATCCGCGGATGTCTTCAATTTCACATTCGCAACATCCGTAATATAAACATGTCTTCTGATATAAGGTATATCCTTTGTTAACCAAAAATAACTTAACGAATTTACTAGTGTTTCTACTTGGGATTTATTTAAATAAAATATTTGAAGTGCACTTTAGCTTACATGGCCAAAAATGGATGAAATATTTCGCGAGTGGTGTCAATCGACCCGGTTTAACGCCAATAATAATAACCCGAGCGCGGTAATTAACTTTTTAAATTAATTAAAGAGTTATTTGCAAAAAAAAAACACTTGCACTTTTCGCAATTTCTTTTGATGTATTTCACGAAAATAAAAGGAGTAAATGAACACAGCTTAACACGTATTTATTTGTTTAAGTACATTTGTAATACATTAAGTGAAATATATGTGCAAAATTGTTTATTTAATTGCAATATTCCGGTCTTGAAAATTCCGCTCAAAAATTTTGTGAAACTAACCTTAATAAGATGGAGGAAAACTGGTGCTGCCACTCTATTAAAAAAAGTTAAAATTTAAAATTGAAAGGTGTTCTCTGCAAAATGTGTTCAGCCCCTTTTTTGGCAACACAGATAGGGGAATTCTACGTAGTGAGGGTTATAATCCCTACGCCTACGCAAAAAGGAGTTGAACGCACAAATACTTTATAAATACAAAAAGTCAACCCTACATAAAATGAATTTTAAAACTGAACTATTTTTAATAAAGTGGATGCACTCATTTTCCTTCATCTTATTTGTATTAACTTCACTTCAGATTGTTGTGCGGAATTTTCAAGATCGGAATATTGCAATTAAATAAACCATTTTGCACACATGTTTTTTCTTAATACATCACAAATGTACAAAAACAAATAAAGACATGTTAAGCTGTGTTCATATACACATTTGCGTGAAATACATCAAAAGAAAGTGCGAAAGTGCAAGCGTTTTTTGAAAATAACACTTTAAGTCAAAAAAGTCTATTTCCGCTCTCGGATTATTGGCCTTAAAACGCGTCGGTTGACAACACTCTCGAAATTTTTCGTCCGTTTTTGGCCATGTAAGCTAAAGTGTACTTTTACCCATTTGAATTTTAGTTGAAGCATTTTAGCCGTTTTTCGCCGTTTTTTTTTCTGCCAATTTAGCCGGTCGGCCCCAAAAGTTCTTGCCACACTGTTCACAATTCACAAACTGAGCTAATAAAAATGCATAATAGTATTTTTTTTATCAATCGACTAAAATTTTATTCAAACTGGAATAGTATGCCACAACTTCATGCACCCTAACAAAATGGTTACATTAATATACATACATATATGTATATATGCACATATATACTAACTTTGAGTGCCCGTTTTGTTTTCGCAAAACAAAAAAAAAATGTAATGGAATATATCAAAGTAGATAAATAAGTCTTAAATGCAAGATAGATTTAGTACAGTGAATTTTCAGTTATTCGCTTCATTTTTGGTAGTCACCAAACAATTTGTAAGGTTCACCTCAACATATTCATGATGAGATAAAAAGTTGTCTTAACAGCACTCAAAAATATTTTGGTGGCATGATTTGCCGTGCAATCGTTTTTGCTTTTGGGTGATTGGCATCGGTCTTAGTGGAGGTGGTCTGTTGAGTTGGATTGAATTGGTGAAATGATCGCCTTTATGTATGTACAGATTTGTATTTGTTCTCAAAATCATTTCAATTTTGAATAAGTATCAACCTTTTTATGGAACTGCATATAGTATTCGAGTGCAGCATTGCGAGTCTGATTCGCAACTTTGCTAAGGTTTTCGGGAGAAAAGCGGTCAATGAAAACCTGTGTCTTAAAGAAGACTACTGTCTTTCCAAACACGTCCACACAAACATTTTTGACTGCTATTGAAGTGTCGCCGATTCTTTTAGAGAAACCAGGAACATATTGTTCGAGAAATTGTGCAGCAGCAGGTAGTTTAGACGCTACAAAATCTGAGAGCACACCATATATATTACAGGCGGCATTGCGTGACAATTTGAAGGCATCACATACCAGCTGGCCAGCAGTCTTCGCGTATGGTGGTACATGGAGTTCGGCCCATTTGTAACCACGTGCTGCAGCTCCCATTGACATGTACCATGCTTTCTCCACATGCGGTAACACTCCGGCATTCTTCAAGACTTTCCCAGTAGCTGAATGTTCAAACACACCTTTCCCATTTAAATTCGTGTCGTAGATCAACACAGCAGCAATCACTGTGATCAATACAAAACTGCCCAGGATCCACTTGCAGATACCACATTTATTCTGCTCAGTGCTTTGTTTCTTTTTTTGTTGTGAAGTTTTTTCTTGGATGGTCTTGACAACATCTATCAGATCTTCTGCAATTTGATCTTTCCGCTTTGATGTAACTAGTTCATCATTGAGCTTTTGAGCTTCCTCCAGAAATGTACGAAATGGGTTGGAACAAGCCAGCTTTAAAACATTTTTATCATCATTATCCAGTTGCCTTTCTATTTCTTTAAATAGCAAAAAGGATGACAGCAGTTGCTTTTTGTAATTCATCTTCCATACTTTAAAGCTATCTTCACTATTTACAAGGCAACAAAGACATCCAGCTAACTCACTGCGACTTCTGCTTGGTTCCACAATATTACGGAAAAGCGTAAGAAATATGTTTGCATGCTTGCTGCTAGATAAAATGTACTTAATCAGAAAGCCATGTGCACATTTTATAAGGGTCTCTTGGTTCTCTTTTGGAATGGAATAACTTGTTTTTAATGCGTTGTAGAACGAGAAGAATTCATTTTGATTCAAAGTTATTGTACAACTTTCATCGGATGCACTCAAAACTTTCTCTAAATATTCCGTTGTGAATTTTGTATAGCTCTTTAATTCGAGAGTGGGTAACATTAAATTTTGCCAGACTTTAATTCCCTCTGTTATCTGCTCTAAGCCACCTTGGCCAATTGCCCAAAGTATGTTTAAACAAATGATGCGCCTATTTTGATAAGAATTTCGTAATAAAGCAATTTTTGCCATGTTATTCGATGCAACATGTGGCCAATGTCGGCCAATTAATTGAAGTATGAACTTGTAACCCACAATTGGTAAATTCTTGGAAAGCTCCGTAGTCATACTAATTAGTAAAGTGTGGTAGAAATATGATAAATTCTCTTCTCCCACCGATTCTAAAAAATCAAGAACGGCAGTTTTAAGTTCTGCATTTATTAAATTGCACGGATAATTCATTGATTTTCCCGAAAATATCGGATCGCTATCGAACAGAAGTTTTTCGTTGAAAAAACTTGCAACGCCTTTAAGCCAAAGAAGCTCGGAACCAGGATAAGCAAATTTTAACTGCTCCAATTGGCTTGCGAAATCATTTGCTGTAATATTACGTAGCACGGACTCTATATTTATAGCTTTTGAAACCGCCGGCTTCAACTTTGCTTGTTGCTGCAAAATATGTTCCTTTTTCGTTGATTTTTCTTTGAAACTTGTTTTTCTTGGAGATTCTTTCGATTTGGTAGAGGAACTTGCCGACTCCGCAGGCGATAAGTTGTCTTTCCCTCTTTGGCCAGACAATAAATTGCGATACTCATGCAAAGGCAAAATCTCCTCTAGTTTTGGGTCCATGGATGCCAAACGTTTTTTCTCAGTATGAGCCTCCACCTTCTTATCTAAATTCTTAGCTTTTCTTGATTTCGTGACGATTTCCCATGACATGGTGACGACTTCGTTTTTTCTTTTAGTTGTAGAGTTGATAATGGCCGGATCTGAGTGATTCCTTTTGTTTATTGTACCAACGACGAGTGATAGCCGGGCTAGTAATCCACAAAGCCAAAAGTGATTCCTCAACAATTTATTTTATCAATTTAAACTAGAGATTCCGTTTTCAAATCGATTAAAGCGCATATCGATTAATAGTGCGTTCCGATTCGATTTCTGTCGACTTTTTAATACCGATTGGATTCGTGAATCGATCCAAAAATTCGAGAATCCTTTTTTACCAATTGATATGCGCGTTCCTTATCTCCCAGAAATAGTCAGAAAAAGTCCGAAGTAGTCAGATTTAGTCCAAAAAGCGTTCCTTAACTCGGAAATGACAGCAAAAATGAGAGAGCAACTGTCAGTGAGAGCGACTCTCATCAGTCCGAAGTAGTCAGATTTAGTCAGAAGAATTTTTTCTGGCAAAATCCTGAAAAGTGTCAAACTCAACTGAATTTAAATTAACGGAAATTAAAGAATACGCAAAAAGTGAGAATAATCTAAAAAGTAAAAGAAATGAATTGAAATTGGAAGGAGGCAAAAAATAATTGATATAGCAAGTGTTTATTGTGCTTGTGCTTGTGTGAATGTGTTTTGTACATACATTTCTGTTCTTATTTGACATTAGTTTTGTTGTTGCCATTCTTTGGACTAAAAATTTGGTTTTTTGCGTTCCTTTACTTTTCCTGTTACTCTCTTTAAGTGAGCGCATTTTGCTTACGCTCTGGCATTTTGACACTTTTCAGATTTTAGTCCAAAAAGATAAGGAATGAACCTGATGCATGGTCAAGGTCAAGGGTGGCAGTTCTGGCTGGTTTAAACTAAGGTGAGCCAATTAAATGTTCGCCAACTGTTCAATTTAGGGTGCTAATATATTTTGATCCCATTGTAATAGAAATGGAAGAAATTGTAATAGAAGTGAAAGAAATTGTAACAGATAACTGCATATGCCAAAAAATAGGTGATATCAGCTGTAGTCATTTTTTGGCAATCAGCTGATAGTGTTTTTACTTAGGAAACTGTACGATGGCCAAGGGTACGCGAACGAGAGAGTCGGGATTGAGTATAGCCGTGCAGATGTAACTGCATACCCAGCACAACGACTATACCCTACTGCACTCCAATAAACCAAATTGTACTCCAAATTTCTTATGCCAGTTCATATTTAGGTCTCAGCCAACAATATTATGCCATCAGAAAAATTTTATCCCCACCCAATTTAATTCAAGTCTGCAAGGGATAAGAGGAAAAATTTAGCTTTTTTTATATTAAAATATTTGTTATTATGTCAAAAATACATAAGATAAGATAGGAGAAAAGATACATGTAAATAGCTGATTGCCAAAGCGCGCAAAGGCTGAGAGTTGCCCATGATTTTGCTTCACTTTGCTTTCCCCGAATTCTATTTAGCAAGACTCATATAAAATCATGTATTGAACTTATCTGTCAAAGCCGAACTCTGAAGCAAAGCGAAACAAAAGTCGTATGTAAAGAGCCCTTACATCAGGGAAAAATACTTGGTAGAAGGCATCTTACAAATTCTTTTAGCAAGTTAAAAAATGCCCACGCGCAAATACTGCCTCTGATAAATTTTATATCAGGCAATAAAAATTACAGTTGGTAGGCAAAAACTTTTGCCAGTGGAGACGAGCCGTAACTTTATCAAGATAAAAAAACGTGAGAAAGCATGTAAAGAATTTTCAAATTACCCATACATAGGGATGCAAACGTTGCATCGATAGTTGCAAAACATCGATGTTTCGTCTATAACTGTATGGGAACGAAAATTTAGAAATTTTCTCGCTTGTGGCAACGCTCATAAAACAGCTGTAGAAGTTGTCTAGTGTGTTTTCGAGACGAGCAGAAAATTCACAGCACGTGTCTTGCGGCAGTTTTCGCGAAATAACAGATTTAAATGCATTTAAAAGCAGAAAACTGCATTAAAAATAAACAAATAGAAAATCGATTTGAACTTAAATCTTGAATACAATAGAGGTATGTAAAAAGTCCCACTTTCCGACCTTCACCTGCCACGCAGTTCTCTTGGTATGAGATGTGTTGCTTGTGGCAAGTTTTCTAATGTCTCCCTTTTCTAACCCTCATCCTGCAGTGCAAAATGTCTCGCGTACTACGCC